AACAATAATACATGAATCCCAGCAATTATACTAAATGTAAACCAACTCGGCCCATATATATACATATAAAAGCAGGCTTTCATTGTATTTTTTTCATGGTAATTGATACAATAACAATATGACGGAAATTAGGTACCTGAATGAAATATATTTCTGGCCGGTTAAAAATACAATATGATGGAAATAAATATGGGATAGAAATGGGAGGTAGCTAGGTAAGAGGAACAAACAAACAAGAAAGATGCAACATGATCTCAAGCCCCTACCTCTTGATCATCTCCCCAGCTTTACTTGATTTACGACTGAGAACAAGAAGAATTCCAGAAGTGCATCAGAAAAGATTCAAGAATGGTTGATAAAGATGAAAAAAACAATTAAGCAATAAGCACTTCCATTCTAAAGCCTGTCTTCTGGCTGTGCGAACAGCAGAAGGCTTTTGCTGTCACACATAACTCTCCCATTTTACCTTAACAAACCCATTTATATCGGCTACTTTACATCCATGTAAACATGATAGAATGTGGAGAACATCAAACTAACTAATGTCCAACACTATATGTCAGCTACTTTACATCCATGTAAACATGATAGAACGTGGAAATTATCAAACTCAGGTCCAACACCATCTATCAGCTTCTTTACATCCATGTAAACATGATAGAATGTGGAAAACATCAAACAAATTCTTGTCCAACACAATATATCAGTTACCTTGCATCCACGTAAAGATGATAGAACTTGTAGAACGTTGGTTAACACTTACTCTTGAGTCTATATAACATGGTTCACTTGGATTTGAGCTTAAAATTTACATGGGAAATTATAGAACAGGCAAGGCAACGACGCAGTAACAAAAACGAATTCTATATGGTTACAGATGAGAAGGATCACCAACCTGCAATATCAAGAATCAAAGTTTTAAGCAATGCAAGCTATGAAATTTAATCACCTTAATGTGTTTGGAAGGATGAAACAGTCTTCACTCAACAGGTGCCCCCAGTAACACGAATAACCTGACCATTGATCCACTCACTGGCATCAGTAGCCAAGAACCCAACAAAGGGAGCCACATCCTTGGTCTCACCAAGCCGGCCAAGTGGAATCTCGTCGATTGCTTTCTGCACCATCTCCTCAGTCCTTCCGCCAAAGAACATTTCCGTTGCAATTGGCCCCGGCGCTACACAGTTGGCAGTAATGGCGGTCCCCTTGAGCTCCTTTGCCAGGATTTTCACCATTGTCTCCACTGCAGCCTTTGATGCTGCGTATGCCCCAAACCCAGGCTTCAACTCCCCAACCATGGCCGATGATAACAATATAATCCGCCCACCACCGCCGCGTTTTAGACGGTTCGCTGCCTCCTTGCAGCATAAGAACGACCCTCTTGTATTCACACTGAAACAATCACATACAGGAATTAAGAAATAAGTTCAATTTTGGTCTAAGATTCCCATGATGAAACATCAGTACCTGAAAATCCAATCGAAGTCCTCCACAGAAGTATCGGCTACTTTGGGATACTTAGAATCCACAATCCCAGCGGAGTTAACCAGAACGTGAATCGGAGAGCCAAAGGCGCGCTCGGCGGAGTCGAAGAGAAACTTAACCTGGACAGGGTCGGAGACATCGGCACGGACAGAGACTGCTCGGGGGCTGTCATCAGAATAGCGAGAATTGATCTCGGCCGTCACGTTATCGGCTTGGGCCGAGTTGGAGGTGTAGTTGATAACGAGTTTAGCCCCAAGCTCAGCCAGGTGGGTGGCTATTTCGCGGCCAATCCCACGAGACGACCCAGTTACTATAGCTACTCGGCCCTTTAATGGGAGAGCCGATGGCAGTGATCCCGTCGGTGGGCTGCTATTGGTGGCGGGCGTCACGGGGGCTGCAGCCATGGAGTCAATATAGAGTCAAGACCTGTACATAGAAGAACTCAGAACCATCACCACATATGTATAGGTCCAAAATCAACCTTCCCCATCATCACATGTAAGGTCCAAAATCAACCTTCCCTTTACATAAAATCTAGTAAAAATAAAAAATTGAAGAGCTGTGATTTTCCCAGAAGAAATTCATCATGAACAACATTACAAAAATGGAAAAAGGAAGGAACTTTAACAAAATCAAACTTCCTTGTATATCCTTTTACATAAAATCTATTTAAAAAATGAAAAGTGAAGAATTGTGATTTTCCCAGAAGAAATTCTTCTTTTATTGATTGAACAACATTACAAAAACGGAAAAAAGGAAGGAACATTAACAAGATCAAAGGGGAATTTCAAATTCATTCAAAATTCCGCTGTTTATACAACAGATCCACCATTAACCCTAATTACTTGCCCATTGATCCATTCCCCAGCATCAGTTGCCAAGAATCCCACAATCCCACTGATATCATTTGGTTCACCCAATCTTCCTAAAGGGGTAGCATCCACAATCCTCTTCAC